CCCCTCTCACCTTAAGCCTATGCCCTCTAGTTTTGGACTATCCCCATCCTCAAAAAAAAAGACCTTGGCTATTTACCATATCTATGCCCTTAAAAAGGTTTTGGAGTAGATCTGTAGCTCGGGTTGTGGGTGTTGAGGTTGGTTGGCTCGCTGAGCTGGTTTGTTGTTCCACAGACGTTTCGTTACCGTGCTTGGTAACATCCTCAGTGCAGCCTCTGATGAAGCATTGGTGTGTTTTCCCGCCTGGTTTTTAAACTCTGGGGTCCGTTGCAATGGATTGCCTCACTTCCGGGTTTCCTCCATAGTGGAATGCATATGGGGTCGAGTTCAATGTGTTTACTAATAGCATGCTTCGTGGAGTGCCATGCTTCCAGGAATTCTCGTGCTTGTCTCTGCCTAGCCTGTCCCAGGATCTTGGTGTTGTCCCAGTCGAAGTCATGGTTCTCCTTGTTCATGTGGATCGAGATGAGTAACCCAAAGAACTGGGTCAGGAGATGCCTACAGGAACAGCATCAGAAAGATTCTACACTCCCCCAACACACATATCACACTACCCTACATCAGGAACACATCAGAACTCACCACGAGACTTCTACGACCGCTGGGCATCAGAGTGGCACACCAGCCCACATCAACCCTACGACAAGTGCTCACCCGAACGGAAGACCCACGCCCCGCCATGGACAGGACCAACGTCATCTACAAGATCCCCTGCAGAGACTGCAAGAAACACTACATCGGACAAACAGGAAGGAAACTAACAACAAGAGTACATGAACACCAACTGGCTACAAAAAGACACGACCAGTACTCACTCATCTCAATCCACGTGGACAAGGAGAACCACGACTTCGACTGGGACAACACCAAGATCCTGGGACAGGCTAGGCAGAGACAGGCACGAGAATTCCTGGAAGCATGGCACTCCATGAAGCATGCTATTAATAAACACATTGCACTCGACCCCGTATACATTCCACTACGGAGGAAACCCGGAAGTGAGGCAATCCATCGCAATGGACCCCAGGGTTTAAAAACCAGGCGGGAAAACACACCGACGCTTCATCAGAGGCTGCACTGAGGATGTTACCAAGCACGGTAATGAAACATCTGCGGAACAACAAACCAGCTCAGTGCGCCAACCAAACTATGCCCTTAAAAATTTATCAACGTCTACAGGGTCATTCCTCAGTCTCCAATGGACCAGGGAGAAAAGCCCCAGCCTATAATTCAAAGCCTACAGGGCCAGCCACATCATTATAAATCCTTTCTGCACCCTCTCAAGTTTAACAACAACTTTCCTATACAAGGGCAACCAGAATTGTACTCAATATTCCAAAAGTGGCCTCACCATGCAAAACAGTGTGCAGGAAAGTTCTGGTCCACCATCCCTGGCCCCAGGATTGTTCATTACTGGCTGAATCTGCACTTTCAACTTTTTCTTCTCCAGTTTGAGCTCTGCCAGGATAGCAACACATTTTTGTTGTCTGTCACTCTGTAACACTGGGGTACAGTACTGGTGGGGGACAGGTCTGTCACTGTATATCCCTGGGGTACAGTACTGGTGGGGGACAGGTCTGTCACTGTATATCCCTGGGGTACTTTACTGGTGGGGGACAGGTCTGTCACTGTATAACCCTGGGGTACAGTATTAGTGGGGACAGGTCTGTCACTGCATAACACTGGGGTACAGTACTGGTGGGGGACAGGTCTGTCACTGTATAACACTGGGGTACAGTACCGGTGGGGACAGGTCTGTTGCTGTACAACACTGGGGTACAGTCCTAGTAGGGACAGGTCTGTCAATGGGAATGAGACTTAAACTTCTTTACTCTGTTGTACCTTTACCAGTTTACAGTATTTCCCAACAGTTTGCAGTTGATGATAACTGTGCCCTGTGAGTGCATTGCCCTCCTTCACACTGGCCCTTCAGGATGTGCTATCAGGATTGGTTCAGTAAACTGTGCAGACAACACAGAGCAAAATGGATAGAGCTCCTTATAGTAACAGCAAAAGCAGAACAGTCTCAGATTTTGGTGGACACAGATTAGCACCTTCTAATCACCCTGTTGTGCGACTGTGACATGTACAAACTGTACAGTCAGAGGCCATTCAGCAAGAACTCCCACACCAGCCTCGGGCCAAGCCAGCCTTCTGCACCCTGCAGGGGGCAGCAGATCCACGGGAACACCACCCACTGAAAGTTCCCCTCCAAGCCCCTCGCCATCCTGGCTTGGAAAAATATCGCCGTTCCTTCACTGTCACTGGGTCAAAATCCTGGAATTCCCTCCCTAATAGCATTGTGGGTCAACCCACAACAGGAAGACTGCAGCAGTTTAAGAAGGCAGCTCACCACCAGCTTCTCTGAGGCAATAGATTCTGGTCTAACCAGCGACACCCCTCACCCCATGAATCAAAGAGATTCTCAGTTCCTCTCTGTCACGATGGAAACCCAGTTCAAAACAACTTCACAGCTACCAGGGGAGAGGAGGCGACTGGCAGGAGGGGGGCTGTTAGATAGTGGTCAGACCAACTTTACTCTCCTCCCTCCGGCTGGAGACACTGAGGCCAACACTCACTCCTGAATGTTGCTGCATACTTTCTGACTTGTGCCTCCCAGCGCTGGGGCTGGCCTACATTTATAGAGCACCTTCAGTGTAGAAACCCCATCCCATAGTACTGCAGCAGGAAATAAGTGGGCAGGGAGCCGAGGAAGAGGATATTGCCTTCCTGCTCCTTTGACGCTGCCTGGCCTGCTGTGCTCATCCAGCTCCACACTTTGTTATCAATATTCTGAGGAAGTAGTCTGAAAGCTGCATGTACAAGAAGTTAAAGAAAGATTGACTTTGGAACAGTAGGACTATAAATCAGGCTTTCGGCCCTTCAAATCAGGTCCAACCTTAATTCAATCATCCTGCCCTGACCCCACATCCCTTAATGTGTTTAGTGTCTAAAAACCTACCAATCTTGAACTTACTTAGTACTGACCGTCCAATGCTTCCTGGGGTAGGCAAGTCCAAAGATTCACCACTCTCAGAGTAAAGAGATTCCTCTTCAGGTCACTCCTAAATGAACTGCCCTAATCCTAATCCTTTCCTGCTTCTGGAGTCACCAGCCCGGGGAAACATCCTTCCTGCATGTTCCCCTTCCAGAATTTTTGTAAGTTTCTATGGGATCACGCATCATTCCCCTAAACTCCGAGAATGCCAGCCCAGTTCTGTCAATTTCTCCTCACAGGAATATCTTGCCATGCCAGGGATCAGTCTGGTGATCCCCTGCTGAACTCCCTCAAAAGGAGACAGGTCCTTCCTTAGGCTATGGAACTTGCAATTCTGTTACACCTTCCACGGCACCTCCCGAAGTGCTGTACAGCCAATGAAACACTTTGCAAGTGTAATCAGTGTTGAAATACAGGAAACACAGTGATCAATTTGCACACAGCAAGCTCCCACAAGCAACAAAGTGGTAATGATTGGATAAACTTGCTTCAGCAATGTTGTTTGAGGGATGAATATTTGTCCAGTAAATTGGGGGGTGGTGGACTTCCCCATTCCTGTCTGGAACAGCAGGGCACAGGATCTTCTCTGGCCATCCCAGGGAGAAGGTGCGTCCTCTGTTTAGCACTTCACCTGAAAGATGGTGCCACTGACTTTGTGGCAGTCCCTCTCTCACTCCTGGCACTGAGTGTATAGACTGAACCATAGCATGTGGCCTCTCACTATTACTCACATTAAACATGAAGCAAGCACTGTGAAAGATGTGGTGGTTGAAAAACAACATTGCACCCAACAGCTTTTACAAAAACAAAACAGTTCAGATGACACCGAAGCATCAGACCAGATGCTGAATATACCAAGTGATGGTGACTGGGAAGTCACGAGAAGTGCAGGAGCAGCGTACTGTTGCCAGAGAACCTGGTCTATGCCTCAGGCTGTGCCCAGGGCATATTTGCCAGCCTCACTGCACCCCCCGGCACACTCACAACCAGCCCCTCCCAACCATTCACATTACTGCAGAGTCCTACCCTCTGCCTCCCCTTCACCAGCTTCCCAGGGGCAGTGCCCACCAGCTTCCTCCCACTTGCAGAGACCACAAGCCCCATTCCCAGAGGCAGTGCCCGCGACCCTAAGCGTTAAAGGCGCAAACACAGAACTCAGGGGATTCCCGGCTGAAAACAGAGCAGAACAGGCGAGCGGGCAGATGTGTATTTTGGAAAGTGGAGCTGGTTCTGACTGGGAGGCGCGTTCTGCAATCTTTGGCGGTGCCGAGGCTCCCCCTCCCTTCCCCCAGAAACGGCAGCAACAGCAGCAGGCTCAAAAAAAAACACCGACACACCCACCAAGGCAAGGTCCGCTCAACACAAACATCCGCTCTCCCTTCAACACGGGGGGGGCTCAAAAAATATCCCACACGGTCCTACCTGATCACAAACTGATCAGCCTCACCCTGAGTGAGAGGGAGAGACATTGTTCCAAATGTTGACATTTAAAAATAAACAAGGCTCCCGGGGTCCGGAGGGAAGCTGCCTCTCCTGCCCAAAGTAAGACTGGCTTCACGGGGCGGCGTTTTTTTTTCTCTCTCTCTCCCCCCCTCCCTTAATTCGAGGGGGGGGGGGGTGCTAGTTGTGGGCGAGAAAGAGGGGACGGAAAACAGACAGGATGAACAACATCTTCAATAAACACAGGGCTAGACTCTTTTCCTGTTGTTTTGCTTGAAATAAGAAAGGATAGCAGCCCCTTCCCTTCCCTTGATCTGACCCCAAGTAACCCCCACCCCCCAAATAAAAACATAAACGAGCGAAAGAAAACAAAACCACATGAAATTACAATTCGGAAAGGGAGAGGAGACACAAACAAACAAAAGTCCGTCAAGCGCTGGCAGGAGAGGGATCGCTACAATGTTGCGGTCGAGTTTGTTACAAAGTTTCTCTGTTTAGACCACAACAATAGGGAAGGAGATACAATGTAATTCACATCGATATAACGTTACGAAATTGTTACCTTTCTCTCGTAGCGGCGTTCTCAGCTCCTCTTTGCTGACTTGTGTGATTATAGACATATTGTCCATCAGTCTTTTTTTGGAAATACGAAATCTTTTTTTTTCCTCTCTTCCCTTCCCCTTTCCCCCCTTCCCTCCGTTTTCTTTAAAGAAAGGTGCTTCTATATTTTTTTTTAAATGGAGGAGGGGAGGGGGGAAAGGAAAGAGAGAGAGAGAGGGGAGGGGGTGTTCAGGAGCTCGATCTCAACATGGAAACCTTTTCCTCGTCAGTTTCGAAGCACGAAACTAACAAGCATCGTCAGGCTCGGTTTCAAGGCGGCCCGCCGCGCAGGGACTCAGCCTGAAGCAGGCAGCCGCCTTTCCAAGCGTAAGGATCGGCTTCGGAAGGCGGCGGAGTCCGTCCTCCCTCACTCACTCTCACTCACTCACTCCTTCCTCGCCTCACTACCGCGTCTGAGGTTCGCCTTCCCCAGACTCCGTTTTCTTTGCGATAAGTGTATGTGTGTGTTGCAAAAAAAAACAACAAAAAGTTTCGAAGCCTTAAACACACACATACACATACACACTCCCCCCGGAGGTTGTTTTGATGGGAGTTGGTATGGATGCGTGGGGGGGCGCCTAGAAACAGCAGCGCTGGAGCCCCAGGGTTAGGGACCGTCCGCAAAGCACGCTCGCCCTGCTCGGAGCAGCGAAAATTATTGTTCCCTGACAGCAATCGCAGAAGGCAGACGTACTTTGGAGAGATGCACATTTGATGTTACTATTTAAAAATAAAACCATGAAAACGTACAAAGACTATTCAGCCATCTTGCCTGATGTATTGGCTCTCTCACACACAATTCCAGCACCCACCCCTCATCTCCTGGATCCATTTTCTCCGTTCTTTTTCAGATATTAACTGTTTCTCACTGATCCCTAGTTGCTCTCTGGCTCAACAGGCAGTGTGCTTGAGCAGACAGCGCTTCCTTTGCAGTCCTGAAGGAGTGCTGCCCAGTCGGAGATGCCCTCCTCCTTCAGATGAAATACTTGATTTGAGGATCTGCTTAGCCCTCTGGGTGGGCGTTAAGAGATCCCTCGGCCCGGATCAGAGAAGAGCAGAGGGAACCTCTCCTGCACCAATATCAGGCCCTCAATCATTACAATTAAAACCCAGGTCATCTGGTATCTGTGGGAGCTTGTTGTGTACAGATTGGATTTTATGGGTGTCTCTAGTTAGGCCCAGCATTTCTTGCCCATCCCTAGTTGCCCCCTTGGGAAGGTGATGGTGAGCTGCCTTCTTGAATCGCTGCAGTCCATGTGCTGTAGGTTGACCCACAATGCCATTAGGGAGGGAATTCCAGGATTTTGACCCAGTGACAGTGAAGGAATGGCGATACATTTGTAAGTGAGGGTGGTGAGTGGCTTGGAAAGGAACTTGCAGAGGGGTGGTGTTCCCATGTATCTGCTGCCCTTGTCCTTCTAGATGGAAGTGGTCCTGGATTTAGATGGTGTTGTTAATTGGAATATCTAGACACTCCCAGTGCAGTCAGGGATGCTGTCTTTTAAAGGCAACATTAAACAAATTTGCTCTCTCAGTGGGTGAGAGAGAGCCCTTAGCCACTAATTTGAAGAGAGGGGAATTTTTCTCTAGTGACCTGACCACTACTTATCCCTCAATCAGCATCACTGCAATATGGATAGTTGGGTTATTCCTGTTTTTTTGGGAGCTTACTGTGCACAGTTGGTCACCAGGATTCATATCTTACAAAGTGATTAGCCCTGGCAAGATATACTGGCAATGGAGGCATTCACAAAGCTGATCCCAGCTACGGAGGAACTGTCTTATGAGGAGGGGCTGAGTAGATAGGGTCAGTACTTTTTGGAAAGTAGAAGAATGAAAGGTGACCTTATTGATATATACAAGATTCTTAGGGGATTTTTATTCATTCACCGGGTGGGAGAGTCAGTGGCTAGGCCAGCATTTATTACCCATCCCTAATTGCCCAGAGGGCAGTTTAGAGTCAGCCACATTACTTTGGATCTCAAGTCACATGTAGGCCAGACCAGGTAAGATGGCAGATTTCCTTCCCTAAAGGAGATCAGTGAACCAGATGGGATTTTTCCCCTCTGATGATCGACAACAGTTTCATGGTCACCATTAGACTGTAAACACAAGATTCTTTTTTACATTGAATTCAAATTACACCATCTGTGAGGGTAGAATTGAAACCCAAGTCCTCAGTCATTCTGGATTAATACTAAATAAAAAAAAATGAATTGCAGATGCTGTAAACCAGAAACAAAAATAGAAATTGCTGGAAAAGCTCAACAGGTCTGGCAGCATCTGTGGAGAGAAATCAGAGGTAATGTTTTGGGTTGAGTAACCATTCCTCAGAACTTCAGTCGGTGAATATTTTTGCCTCTTATTTGCAGAATCTGCATTTCTTTTGGTTTTTGCTAGGTTTTAATGAGAATGGTTCCAATTACTGAGGTGATCTATTTGAGGTATTTTCAAATTAACCTGGTCAGAGATGTTATTAGAGCAGATGGGACATGAGCCAAGGCCTCCTGCCTCAATGGAGGAACATAATCACTGCCCTACAAGGGCCTAAAGACGAGCTTTTTTAATGTTAAATAAGATCTGAATTTTATTAATTGACTTTAGATTTCACCATCTGCTGAGGTGTGATTTGAACCTGCGTCCCCAGAGCATTAAAATAAAAGCAAAATACTGTAATTTTGCAACAAACATAAAGAATGCTAGAGAAACTCAGTGGGTCTGGCAGCGTCCATGGAGGGAGAAACAAAGTTAATGTTTCGAGTCTGATGACCCTTCTTCAGAATTTTGGAAATGTATCTCTGAAAGCGCTGGCCAATTTGTGCATTAATGATAGCAGATCTGTTAATCTATTAAAAATAAGGGGAGGTGATGGCCTAGTGGTATTTGTACTAGACTGTTAATCTGGAGACTGAAGGTCCTGGGTTTGAATGTTGCCAAGACAGATGATGGAATTTGAATGAATAAATATCTGGAATTAAGTCTGTACAAAGAATTAATCTATGGTAAACATGAACCCATTGTCAATTGTCATGAAAAACCCATCTGGATCACTAATGTCCTTTAGGGAAGGAAATCTGCCATCCTTACCTGGTCTAACCTATACGTGTCTCCAGACCCACAGTCACAGTGTTTGGCTCTTAACTCCCCTCCCTGGGCATTTAGGGATGGGTAATAATTACTGGCCTAGCCAGTGATGCCCAGATCTTGTGAATGTATTAAAGAAAAGACCCTTGTAGTACAATGGTAGTGTCCCTAGCTCTGGGCCAGAAGACAATTGTTCAAATTTTCTGATGAAGGGTCTATGCCCGAAACGTCAGCCTTCCTGCTCCTATGATGCTGCTTGGCCTGCTGCATTCATCCAGCTCTACACCTTGTTGTTCAAACCCCACTCACTGGTGGTGAATCTGTGGAACTCATTGCCGCAGAGGACTGTGGAGGCCAAGTCATGGGGCGTATTTAAGACAGAGACAGATAGATTATTGCTTAGTAAGGGGATCAAGGATTATTGGGAAAAGGCAGGAGAATGGTGTTGAGAAACATCTCAGCCGTGATTGAATGGCTGAGCAGATTCGATGAACTAATTCTGCTCCTAAATCTTACGGTCACTTCAGAGTGTATCAAAGTGTGCCTGAGCAGGTTGGTTAAAATATCCATCACTTAGTCTCTGCCGTGGGTCACTTTACCACTACAGGGGTGGAGGAGGTGTGGGGGGTGGTAAGAGAGGGGGAGAAAGAGAGAGAGAGAGAGTTTGCCCACCAGAACTGTGTGGTGTTTTCAGCTCAGCAGCCTCCCTGCTTCAAAAGACTTCACAAGCAGGTTCTCCCTGTGAGCAAGTCCCACTCCCATTCTGAAGGACAACCAGACAGGGAGAAATTCAATGGTCAGTGAGGTGTAAGGCTTTAGATAGGGGGAGAGACCAAAAAAGCTGTTGGCACTCAAACAGACAAAGGTCGAGAGAGGTCGAGAGGGGTAAAAGCAGGAAATGTTGGAAAGGCTCAGCAAGATCTGTACATCACACCCCTCATGAAGCTGAAAGTTTACCTCTCCACAGGTGCAGCTTAACCTGTGGAGATTCTCCAGCATTTCCTGTCTTTTATTCAGATTTCCAGCATTTTATATAAAAACTAAAACAGAAGGAGGCCATTCAGCCCTTCAAGCCTGTTCCATCATTTAATACAATTGTTGATGATTGTATCTCAGTTTCAATTCCACTTTCCTGCCCACTCTCTATATCCTTTCAACCCATTGGTAAGTAAAAATCTGTCTATCTCCTCCTTAAATTTACTCAATTCTCGCCTGGTACCTGGTCGCCATGACATTGCCTTTGTGGAATTTGATAATGAGGTCCAGGCTGGGGCAGCAAGTCACGTGCGCCAGGGATTCAAGATCACACAGTCAAATGCAATGAAAATCAACTTTGCAAAGAAATGAGGGGTCAGGGTGATTGAACTGGTTATTTCTGGCTTTATTTTCAAAAGCTGTTGTGTTTTATTTTCTAAACTGTGGGGTAATTAGCCTGTTACCCTCTGAGGGAGTGAATTCCACAGATCTATGACACTTTGAAAGAAGTAATTCTCTGTTTTAAATCTGCTACCCCTTATCCTAAAACTATGACTAAGGGATATTAAGGGAAAAGGTGATTTTAAGTAATTGAAATGATGAGGTTCTTTATTAAAGACCCACACTATCAACTTCCTGGGGTTATCATTGACCAGAAACTCATCTGGATTAGCTATATAAATACAATGACTAAAAGGGCAGGTCAGAGGCTAGGAATACTGCAGCAAGTAACTCATGTCCTGACTCCTCAAAGCCTATCCACCATCTACAAGGCACAAGTCAGGAGTGTGATGGAATACTCCCCACTTGCCTGGATGGGTGCAGCCCCAACAACACTCAAGAAACTTGACACCATCCAGGACAAAGCAGCCGCTTGATTGGCACCACATCCACAAACATTCCACTCCCTCCACCACCGACGCTCAGTAACAGCAATGTGTACTATCTACAAGATGCACTGCAGAAATTCACCAAAGATCCTTAGACAGATCCTTCCAAACCCAAAAGATGTGAATTAATTGGAGACAGTGCACAAGTAATTTACAGGTATGGTTGAAGGAATAAGAAACTTTAGTGATGAGGAAAGTTTGAAGAATTTGGGACTGTTCTCCTTGGAGAGAAGAAGGCTGAGAGGAGATCTGATGGAAGTTTTCAACATCACCAGGGGTTAGATGGAGCAGATGGGGAAACTGTTCCTGATCATAAAAGAAACAAAAATGAGAGGGACGTAGATTTAAATAAAGTCACAGAATCATAGAGCTGTACAGCATGGAAACAGACCATTTGGTCCAACTCATCCATGCCAATCAGCTATCCTAAATTAATCTGAGATAACAAGGTGTAGAGCTGGATGAACACAACAGGCCAAGCAGCATCAGAGGAGCAGAAAGACTGACGTTTCAGGTCTAGACCCTTCTTCAAGGGAGGACGGACAGGTCAAGGGGGTGGGATGAGGTTAGTAGGTAGGAGATGGGGGTGGGACTTGAGGTGGGAGGATGGGATAGGT